GAAGAAGTGCGCCTTTTACCATTTATTTTGACTGATTTTGCTAATTAAATTTTTTTCTGGAAATCATGCATGAAAAAATGAATTATTGTACATAGTTGTTAGCAAATTATGCCTCCTTTAAATGTTATCCTCAAAGAAAGCGAGCTGTTGGTTTTAAGCAGCTACTCATTATGAGCCTTAAACAATTGCGAGGTGTTTATTCATAGTAGATAATATCCGTTAATTTATTAATTTTGTCTATGCTGCATAGCACTTTTTTCCATATCTACTGCCATATTTTGTGACAACTGAAAGCGAAAACGCACTTTTCATTAAACAAGATTTACACAGTGCGCAGTCATTATACCTTGAATTCGAGTGCAGTAGTCAGTCGTATAGAAACATGTTTGTCAATGGAGAAACATTTTTAAAACTGATAGGTGCACATTATTTACGTATAATATTTATTGCGCGCATGTTTTCTATAATACATACTCGAAGATATAAAGTCAGTCAATATAAGTGATAAAAAGTCATACCATATAAAAAGTCACTTTTTTACAATATATGCGTTCTGTTAGTGATCGGAGTGTTACTCATATCACGATTGAAATGACTTTAGAGTAGATTACCCGATGATACATTTCACAACCTAAAACAATGCAGCTTAGGGAAAGAGCATCCGTCTTTCGCATAGGGCGACATGTTGCGTGGTTTTTGGCGACTACTGCACATTTTTTGTAAAGCCTTTTCTCATAATGGGCAACGAAAAGACGGCACGGGCAGAGGATTTTCATCGTTGTTAAAATTGCAGCAAAATTGCAGCAAAATAGCAGCAAATATCCGAAAAATAACTAGTAAGAAAGAACAATTATATTATCTAAATAAATTAATATACTTACAAAATTCTTCACAATAACTAGAGTTTTCGTTTAAAAACAGCATGGTTTTATCTAATTGTTCAAGTTTATCTTCATGAACAGTCCAAATCCCAGCTTGCAATGAAAATAGCGACAGTGGTTTGCTTCTCAGTTATACGTCTAAAAAAAAGTCGTTGATTTCACCGGAATTGTATTGTTATTGATGTCAGCTTTCGGAATCTGTCGGGAGTCCATCGTCAAAGATAAACTATTAACGAAAAGCGAGCAACTGTTATAGGGGGCAGAAACCAATCAACTGTTATGGGGGAGGGGGTGTAGAGTAGGTGAAGAGTAGGGTGAGAGGGGGGGAGTAGGAGTGGGCGAGAGGTAGAGAAGAAGTGGTGGAAGCAATGGGAAACTCATTGATCACCAGTTTCAATCGTGCGGGCGGAGAACGGTGTAAGCGGGCGCCAACTCAGTGCACGGGCTGACTCACGTGTCATCCGACGAACAGGCTTCAAGTAACTCTCGTGCGGTCTTGCTGTCGGCACGAGCAACTACTCTTGCGGCTGCGAAGTTAAATTCGTGGCCCGTCGCATAGGTGTGGACAACCACTTGCGAATTTGCGTCTCCCTGTATGACAGTTAGCTTATATTCATACATGCGCGAACCAAGCAAATATCCTGACTGTTCGGTATAAGTTCGGGCACAGTTCAGACATGGTATGCAACAAACTACGCCTGAATGCTCACGGAGACTTAATTGGTTCTTTATTTTCATCATACCGCTGCGCATCATGGCCTTGGGGCGGAGCGCAATTCCGAGGCCTAGTTCCGCAGTAATGCACTCTGTCGCTTCCGACACATTCTTGATGTATGACAGCGCAAACCATATCGTATGCGTTGGCGGGCACGCCGGCAATGGTAAATGAAGGCTTTCGGTTACCCATTCCGCATAAATTGGTTGCAGAGTTATTGGGCCTCCCGTGATTTCACATCCGGGTTACTGCATTGAGTCTGAATTATTTCGAACAGCATTCTCACGCACCTTCGTTTGTGAGCCACCGGATGGTTGCTGTGAACGTTTAGAATCTTTGTGGTCTTTGTTACCTATCATGTTAACGGTTGCTTTGATCTCGCCTTTAGTCCTACAAGAACACACGAGGAGCCAACGCCCAGGAAACGACATGCACTGCCACACATCAAGGATGTGTCGGAAGCGCATTGCTGCGGGACTAGGCGTCGGAATTGCGCTCCGCCCCAAGGCCATAATGCGCAGCCGTATGATGAAAATAAAGGACTAAGTACGACCCAGTGACCATTCAGGCGTAGTCGATTGCACACCATGTCTGAACTGTCCCCAAAATTACACCGAACAGTCAGGATGGACGCTTGGTTCGCGCATGTACGAACATAACCTAGCTGTCATACAGAGTGACGGAAATTCCCAAGTGCCGGTCCATACCGTTGGGACGGGCAATGAATATAAGTTCGCAGCCGCAAGAGTAGTTGCTCGTGCCGACAGCAAGAACGCACGAGAGTTAATTGAAGCCTGGTCGTCAGATGACATCTCAGTCAACCGGTGCACTGAGTTGATGCCCGCCTACACCGCTCTATGCCGGCATCTACACACGACCGAAACTGGTGATAAATGAGTTTCCCATCCCCCCCTTCTTCTTTATCTCTCGGCTTCTCCTCCTCCACCTCCCCCTTACCCTATTCTTCACCCACCGTACACCCTCCTCTCTTTAAAAGTTCATTATTTTCTGCCCCATATAACAGTAGCCAGCTTTTCGATGACAGTTTATCTCCGAAGAGGCTCTTCTGCGAGGACCCAAAAGCTCATAAGAATAAAATTATCATTCCGGTGAACGCAACGACTTTTTATAGATAAACAACTGGGATGCGAACATTTCCGCTATTTTCTTTGCAGGCTGGTATTTGGAATATGCATGAAGATATCTTGAACTATTAGATAAAATGATGCTGTTTTTAATCGAAAAAAGCATGTTATTGAGAAGAATTGGTTAAGGATATTAATTTATATTGGTTATATAATTATTCATTTCGGCTTCTTATATTTCGATTTTCGCTGCCATTTCTATCATACTTATCTTTTTTTCCTTGCTGAATCTTCTGTGCAAGTTAACTTTCGAGTTTTTTTTGATGGTAGCTGAGCTTTGAACGCAGGATTCGTCCTCATATCCAAGACATTTAATTAGAATAACGCTTTACAATTATAAAGTGCGCGACCACTAAGCCTAGTCGCCAGGGGCAAATAAGTCGGTAAACGTTCAAAATAAAGCCTATGTCTGTAGTAGACAGGTAATATCCTCGTATAAAATGTGATGGTTAACAAATTCTTGGATTTCCACGTTTCGATTAAAAGCATGTATTGCAAACAACTGTTTTCGATCACCTATCAACAGGCCTTTGCGTGCACTGCCATGCAAATAACAGGAATGCATCCCTTAACTTCCCAACGCTAGCGTCGTCCAAATTGGCGGAGATGATGAGGATAAAAATAATTGTAATTGCTCACTTGGACAAACTAGGGATAGGCTTAGTAATTCAAGGATCAATTTCGCGTCCTGCCTACCTCAACTTCAGACATTAGTATCAGCATAGACCGCAGGAATTATGAATTCTCGCAATGTTTGATAACGTATCTGCTGTATGATGCGCGACCAGGGGAATGTTAAATGAACGCGAAGTCAAAGGACTTCAGTAATACTATCGGCCACTCTTAGAATTCACACTGAAGCATGATCGCTTCCTTCAAATTCGAGATACCAGTTTTTGCCTCACCTATCCAAAAATGATGCTGTTCACTGGGAAATTCGTTGAATATAACTCCTCTTCTCGTGCTTCCTGCTTCAGAACCACATTAGGCCAGTGTTACGCCGATTAAACACAGCTATACTTTCAAGATACAGTATGGGGCGCATGGATCACGTACATTTGGTTCAACTGGACTGTGGTAACTACGGGCATCAAATATCAGCAAACATGGAAGGTCTGAAAAGAAAAGAGTTTTCTAAACACCCCGCACCGAGTCATGCATGCAAGCATTATCCACTGGTTACATAACGTTTACACGCCACCGTCCACATGCCCCAACCATAATCATTTCCTTACTGACGATATTTAATATTAACAATGATACTAACTCTACGTTTTCTATGTTTACTTTTAGGATTGTATTAGCGCCCATGGACGCACACAACAATTAAATGCGCAGAAAGCAGATGCCTTCGAGACAACCCAGTGAAACATAGTTTAAAGCAAGCGAACGCGTATGAACAAGGTTGGACCAAGAAGATGATGGTCACAAGTAAACCACGACTGCATTGGCTTGATGACTTGGTTGTCTGTCTTGCGCTAGAATCAACACGCTTCGTAACTGTGGCCCGCACATTCAGTAAAGATGGGTCCTAACATTTAAGACCTAATTTCCTCTCTTTGGTTATTGTATGTGGGTGCGTTTGGAATTATTGACATGTTTGGACTACTGAGTGCGCGCGTATGCACCGTCGCAACATAAGAAGACTCCACGAAATACTGCCGTCTTAAAGGGCACATGCGGGAGATTCCGAGTTTAACACGGTATAATCTATAGGCGGTTCTCCTTGCGTCAAAAAAAATTAAAATGTTCAACTGAATAAACTGCCCATAATGAAACCTAAACACAGGCTGGTCATTGATTTCAAGCGAATCAATAAAGCTTTAAAATATGGACGAGGAAACATATTCACCTGTCGACAGCAAATAAGAAATGGAAGTATTCAGACGGCCAAAAGAAGAGAGGATTCCTCACTTTTTTATAAAACCGCGGCAATTACTGCTTCCACTACATTTAGTACCTTTATTATGCGCGACACCACTGTTAATTCATATAGGATTTGCTAATTTTATTTACGCTGGACCCCAATCTTGCACATGAAATGCACTAAAAGCCAGGCGGCCTCAACACAAAAGAAAAATTTCAGCGATTTGAATTTCCATCCAATCTCAACTCTTTTTACGGTCTTGTTTTACATGTAAAACATGACAACAAGGAGGGGTGTTAGCAAGCAAGATATGACAAAAGTAGGTCCAGACGAGGAAATGGGTTCAGGCTGCTCCGTGCCGTATCGGATTATTGGATCCTCTGTGAAAGCAAATAAGTTAGCGTTAGGTTAAAGTAGAGAATTGGAGGCAGGGTTCTTTCATGTTAAAATATTTATTCACAAATCAAATCTTCAAGCTGCCCTGAAGGAAGATGTTTAGTAAATGCAATGTAGTGCATTTACTTTTCCTCCACTCATGGTGAAGGATGCGCCTTAATCGGGTTTGAATTAGCAACAATGACTTGACCGCGACTTGAACTTTTTGCCGGACCCCAGACCTGAAATTGCTAACGTGAAACTCCACCTGGAGAAAGATGATACCTTAAGCAAGAAATTATCCGAATGCTCGCAAGCATACACCTATCAGCTCCATGTCTTTAATTTGATCTACCGACATCTGTATTTTGTACTACTTTTAACCACTGTGTATTGGCTCCCAGCAGAAACTCGCTGTCGGTATGATTATAAGCACATATGTGACATGTTAAGTACTTCTGAGCCAGCCGGTACTTATCCGTTATATTATGGTCGGACATTAAATTTGCGCCCCTTTGCGATATTTTGCGGAACGTTTCTGGACGTCCAGGGTAAAAGGCATTGCTGGTATTTTTAATAATGCATTCACCAGCGGACCTTGGCCACAAAAACTTGAAGACATTCACCTCAGGATGCTTGCTGGTGTAAACGCCGATTCATTCTGTTTCACCGCGTAGTCAGGCGAGTATTCGTACTCGCCGCTCGAGAGATTATGCAGCCGATTAACTGGCAACATTTTACTTATTCACTCCTGAGCATACGGCATCCTAACATTGGACACTAACACAATTTACCAGGACGAGATAGCTAGCTGCAAGTACCTGCGCGGTCTACTAAAAGCTAGGTCTCTGAGAAAAATCTCCGCTAACTAATCAGTTATCCCTGGTGCTGGAAACTTTCTTGTGGTTGTTTTCGCAGCACACTTGTGCAATTATTATCAATACTTATCATTGGGAGTTTTTGGTGCTTTCTCCGAAGGCCGTCTAGCAAACTGCATCAATAATGATTCAAGTATGTCTTACGGAGAACGATGTTAAGGCTTGATTTCAGTCAATGATATAATCAGTAGAGGTAAGAGGTCCACGCAGAGGTTTGGATGCCAGTGTGATGGCCAAGTTTTGTAGAACACTTCACGTGGTGTATACGGTTTTAGGCAGCTATTTCAAGCCATTTTATTTGGGCGTTTCGAGCAACAGTGGAAACGCCTGCCATCAAATTACGCAAACCAATAATTAAAACACGAAAAGCTCACATATATGCCATGGCCAATTATCAGTTTGCTCCTTTTCTCCTCCAACCTAATTTGTCTTTCCTAACCCAAACCGCCTACAAATTGGTCTGATAAAACCAATCGACAGTGGGCGTTTGCTCACAAACTGGTATTATGCATGTTGAAAAAATAAATAAAAAGTATAACTAACCTGCTAACCGCGTGGTGATGAAGACGGGATCAGAGAAACATTCTTGAAAGCTGTCCAAGTCTGCAATTGGATTGAAGAAGCTAATTGCAAAGGCAATCGCGTAGATTCTGTTTGATTTCAGGTTTGTTATAGGGACTTCGTAAACTTTAACTTCATCTATAGTCGTAGTGTTAAGTCCTTGCTTGACCATCTCAATAACACGAATGTATGTCGGTATATGTTTGCCTGGGTTTTGCACGATAACGGTAACATTATTCCATGAGTTGATATTGACCCGCATAATGGCAAGAGCCCTTCCAGCTACAAACAAGGAAAAGAGAAAAATAATTGAATTTTTATGAAAACGGTCCAAATGATTCCAAACGCAATATTCCTAAATGTGCGTGCGAAGAAAACGGGGGAGGTGGGGCAGGTATATCATAATTCAGATAACATAAGGGCATAGTACTAAGGGGCGTAAGCCGCGGGTGTGTTCAGTTTGCAGTAAAATGATCACTCGCCGTTTCCTATAGGAAACGAGCGAGGAAAATTCAGTACAAGTTGTGTCTTCTCTACAGAAACGAGTAGTAGTCTGAAGTACCAACGTGCAAGTGAGGGTAAACGCGCGTATGCTTGCTGGCGAGACGGGGTGCGTGCATACGTAAATGACATCCTAGTGTGAATCGCTGGCCGCTTGATCAGCTGCCCGGCCAATAGCGAAGTATGGTGCGTGTGATAAGTTGTCCCAGAGTCCGATGGATAACTGCAATCGTTTCATGCCTTGCGTCACAATGCGTTGCGCTGGAGGTGGATGTTGCTTCAAGTTTGCTTATGCTAATGGTTAGTACTACACTTGATAGTTATTGTGACGTACGTTTTTACTGTTTGCACGCATTCTACTAATTTAGCAGATTTATAAAAATACACGTCATACAAGACGATAAGTATTTGTTAATGGTTTTTATTTTTTGAAGATAACGTTAATTGAAAATTGATACAACACGTATTGACATGACTTCCATATCGAATGCAAGCAGACAATATTTCCAATTTTCCTTGAATGGTAATGCGAATGGCACGAGCCCTAGGTAACCATACGTAGTTCGCGGATTAAATAAATATCTTGAACCATGATGTACGAAAGCAAATGGACAGTGAAATGAAAATGGCAGAAGACTATGACGTGATTGAATCTAGGTTCCAGACTCTCAGGAAAAACTGAAAATGTACTGCTAAGTCTAGGTACCTGCACATGGCAGGCATAGCCTGACATATGTAGTTGGTTTTAATGTACCGCATGTAGCAGCAGAGAATGTCAAATTACGTGCGGTCACCCGAAGAATATATTCTGCTAGCCTACAAGCACGGCAATGTTTTTTCTTGGAATAAGCCGATTGTGAAATTAATCTGGAATCCATTTATTTCACTATTATTAAACCATCACTACGATTCGTTACTTTGATAGTTAGCATGCTTGTGGCGAATTGTCATAATTTCCCCCCCCC